GTGTGCTCTGGGGAGGGCGCGCCCAAGACCGACCTCATGGCCTTCAGCCCCAGCCTACCTCAAGTTCCAGGCTCCGCAGAAGAAAGACAACAACCCTCAGAATCAGAACACTTAGGAAAGGTGAGTCTTTCCCCTAGATTCTATAATTGCTCTATTTCCTTTATTTATGTTTCTATTATTTTGATTCATAGCTTTGTCCTTATTTTTTTTTATCATTATCCTGTTGTGCAATATATGGCTTGAAATAGAGGTTAATTTCTTCATTGAAAACAATTTACTTAAATGGTTTTTTTTCACATTTTGTTTTTTTCATAATTAAATCTGTTCGCGAATAATTGGACTTTGAAGGACTGAAAAACAGCTCAGCTAATTTTGAAAACTTATATCCTGTAAATACTTTTCTCAAAATTAAAAAAAATCATAATTGGAAAAATTTTAAAGAGAATGAATATATAAAATGCATATTTCCAATTTACATCATCCATCCATGCTGTTAGAATATGAATAGCTGTATGTTATTTAGAATAGGTGTATATTATTTAGCTGGACATTTTCTGAATTATTTTTTTTGATCAATAATTCATTTGTCTTTATCTGTTTGTGCAACAGCTAATAAGTTAGGTTTTCTTTCCCTTGTTTTTGAAAGCAGCCTGAATGGATCTTTTAATGCCAGGACTTCTGAAAGTACCTATCGTAGATCATTAGAATACATGACATCACTTAGGAATAACTGCTAATAATAAATATGTCTTTCAGTAGTAAAATAACCTATTATTTGGGATAAAGATTTAACACTTGCAAAATCCGTAGAGTTTTAAGGCACAATAGAGAGTTCATTGAGAAAAGAATCCCCTCTCTGGAGCACCTGGGTGCCTCAGTGGGTTAATCATGATCTGTGGCTCTATCTGTTGGGTGCCTGACTCAATTTCAGCTCAGGTCATGATCTCGGGGTAGTGGGATCCAGCCCAGTGAAGGGTTCTGCAATCAGTGGGAAATCTGCTTGTCCCTCTTGCTTTGCTCTTCCTACCCCACCCCTGGCAGGCACTCTCTCTCTCTCTTTCTCTCAAATAAACAAACAAAATCTTTAGAAAAAAAGAAAAGAATTCTCTTTCAATTTTGTTAAATATATATATATATATATATATATATTTTTTTTTTTTTTGAGAGAGAGAGAGAGAGTGCAGCGGAGTGGGGAGGGGCAGAGGTAGAGAAAGAGAGGAAGAATCTTTTTTTAAAAAAGATTATTTAGGGGCACCTGGGTGGCTCAGTGGGTTAAAGCCTCTGCCTTGGCTCAGGTCCTGATCTCAGGGTCCTGGGATGGAGCCCCACATCTGGCTCTCTGCTCAGCAGGGAGCCTGCTTCCCTCTCTCTCTCTGCCTGCCTCTCTGCCTACTTGTGATCTCTCTCTGTGTCAAATAAATAAACAAAATCTTTAAAAAAATAAAAAGATTATTTATTTATTTGTTTGAGAGAGAGAGAATGAGAGAGAGAGCATGAGAGGGGACAGGTCAGAGGAGAAACAGACTCCCTGTCAAGCAGGGAGCCTGATGTGGGACTTGATGTGGGACTTGATCCTGGAACTCCAGGATCATGACTCAAGCCCAAGGCAGTTGCTTAACCAGCTGAGCCACCCAGGTACCCAAAAGAGAGAGAGAGAGAGAATCTTAAGAGGGCTCTATACCCAGCGCAGAGCCCAATGAGGGGCTAGATCTTACAACCCTGAGATCATGACTTGAGCTGAAATTAAGAGTTGGACATTCAACAGACAGAGTCATCCAGGCACACTAAAATATTTTAATATTAAAAAAATCTTAACATTTAAAAAATTACATTGTGGGGTGGCCAGATGGTGGGGCTTTTTCCCCCCCAAAAGTGGTGAGTACTCTAGCCCCCTTGTTATGCTAGTGGGTTGCTCAGTCATCCTTCCCAGTATCTGTATCATTAGGTTAATGTATGCAGGCCTCCCACTGTGCAGAGAATGACTACCTGCCTATGGCACCACACTCTATGCCTGGGATAACATTTTCCACAAATGTGAGATCACTCACTTTCTCTTGGCAGCATCCATATAACTAAGGAAGTTGGAGTTTTCCCAAAAGGTGAAGACTGATATTGAAAGACTGCATTTTAATTGGAAACTCCTGTGTTGGGTCATTAAAACGTAAACTTGACAAGTAAATGTTACACTTGGAAAAGAATTTTGAAACTTCAAAGAAAATGTCTTAGACAGTGAAATAACTGTCTAAAACTGTATTCTATTTTGTTCTTAGTTATTTGCTGTTTTTTTCCCTGTATGTATGTGAGTGGGTATTGAAGTGTAGAAATTGAATTGTAGAAATAACTTACACTAAGTGATCTGGCCTTAGCCATTCAAAAGATAGGCCATATATTCATTTTCATCTGAGATCTGCTTTTAAAGGATTTGAGAAGTTAGGTGGGGAATTCTTTTAAGGACAATCCATTTCTACAGAAAACTTCTTAGCTCCTAACAGTTAATAAGCCTCAAAGTTTAGGGAGTATATATTTCCTGGGAATCAGAAAAGTTTATCTGAGGCTATACAGGGAAAAAAGTGACTTGGGCAAATAAGTAAGAAGCTCTTTCTTGGGAGGAGTCATCCTACCTACAGTGTCATAGCTACTCACCACCTTTGAGACTTGTATGCAGAAAGCATAAATGATCAGGTGAACTCTGTACTACTAGAAGTTTGGCCTCAATGTTTGTAGTACAGGTAAATGGTAAGCTGTTAAAACTATATCCAGGTATACTCAGATCTCCAGGAGTCACAATCTGTCACTTAAATTCTTATTGGTTTCTTATCCCTTATTTACACTTTTAAAGTAAATTACCTAGGGAGATATCTAAGTGAGAGTAGATTTTATTCACTGATACTTTATCTACATAGTGACTCAATCTTCTAAACTCATGTGTCCTTTAGTATTACTTTCATTGCCTAATAATCATTATGGAGTCTACTCTATCATAAATTGCCTGTGTCATTCTACTTTGCAATTAGTGTACTCTCAAATGTCATGAAATGTATAATAGTATAAGAAGTTGTCAGAGAGGGACGCCTGGGTGGCTCAGTTGGTTAAGCAGCTGCCTTCGGCTCAGGTCATGATCCCAGTGTCCTGGGATCGAGTCCCGCATCGGGCTCCTTGCTCGGCAGGGAGCCTGCTTCTCCCTTTGCCTCTGCCTGCCACTCTGTCTGCCTGTGCTTGCTCTCTCTCTCTCTCTGACAAATTAAAAAAAAAAAAAAAAAGAAGTTGTCAGAGATATTCCATTAATATGGAGTCCATGATGTCTTTAAATTTATTTTTATTTTTTAAAAGATTTTATTTATTTATCAGAGAGAGAGCACAAGCAGAGGGACCAACAGGCAGAGGGAGAAGCAGGCTCCCAGCTGAGCAAGGAGCCAGATGCAGGACTTGATCCCAGGAATCTGGGATCATAACCTCAGCCAAAGGCAGACACTTAATTGACTGAGCCACCCAGGTGTCCCATGGAGTCCATGATGTTTTAAAATTTTAATTCTGTATCTCATTTTAAAACTAGCTATTACTTTTCAAGATTCTTCAAAGCACTAACTGGCATACAGGTATCTATAATTATTACCTTGATTCATGCTTTTCCAAAATAATTCTTAAATGTTTACTTAGTTCTTCTTCATGAACTAGTACAATAGAATCAATTAGAAATTATAGGTTTGGGGACGCCTGGGTGGCTCAGTGGGTTAAGCCGCTGCCTTCGGCTCAGGTCATGATCTCAGGATCCTGGGATCGAGTCCCGCATACGGCTCTCTGCTCAGCGGGGAGCCTGCTTCCCCCTCTCTCTCTCTGCCTGCCTCTGTCTACTGTGATCTCTCTCTGTCAAATAAATAAATAAAATCATAAAAAAATCAGAAATTATAGGTTTGATATTAACAAATATCATTAATGTAACTTACCTCTTATGTTACTTGAGAAAGTTTAAAATACTCATTTATCCATTTAAATGCTAATTGATGACTTATTCTATTCTAAATGTGAATGATAAAATGCAAGTAAGTTGCAATCCCGGCATGCTTTCATTGAGTGCATGGGGGAAAAATTGGTATGAAAACTTTTCTCCTAATATTTAAATCATGTATTTGGTTTTATTTCAAGAAGCTCTGACTATAAGCAAAACTTTGGACATCCTCAATCGGAGAAAGACAACTATCACATGATCTCCCTGATATGAGGGAGAGGAGATGCAACATGGGGGGTTAAGGGGGTAGGAGAAGAGTAAATGAAACAAGATGGGATTGGGAGGGAGACAAACCATAAGTGACTCTTAATCTCACAAAACAAACTGAGGGTTGCTGGAGGGAGGGGGGTTGGGAGAGGGGGGTGGGGTTATGGACATTGGGGAGGGTATGTGCTATGGTGAGTGCTGTGAAGTGTGTAAACCTGGCGATTCACAGACCTGTACCCCTGGGGATAAAAATATATTATATGTTTATAAAAAATAAAATTAAAATGGTGAGTTTCACCTCATTAAGAAAAAAAAAAAACTTTGGACATCCTCTCACCTCTCTACGTTCAACCTCTGCCCATGAATTTTCTCTGGTCAACTTTCAAA